GGGGGGCGTAACTTCTAATAGGTAATATATTGATTATGCCGCTGTGTGTGTTTATGAGAAATGCTCGTTAAGGAACAGAAGAGAAATATATTTCAATTATTGTAACGTGAAAGAATATAACCAAACATTTGTCTTTTAGTGATTTGAATAATTTGTTAGAATTAAATAATTATTAATCACGGTGATATATATATATATATTAAAATAAATGGCTGCAATGCGAAAAGGTAATTATAGTATCACGTCGGACAATACGCAGATGTTTTTCCTGACGCTCGAATAAAAATCGGAGCAGCACGTTTTTAATCTCATGTCGTTTCTCACGTGTACAGTTGCTACGGAATACACGAGATACGAGCGCGCGAAGAAAGATGTTTTCATTACATCAGAGAACGAACGCCTTCACTGTAGCGCGTTTAAAATCATTCTCGCAAACGAAAATCCTCGGGAGGATATTGTTGCAAAATGAGAATTTCCGAGAGATGAAGATTTTCGAGATGTACGCGAACGGTTTTCGGAAATTCACATTCGTGCAACACCTATTAATTTTATTTCCAGTTATCGGTAACGCATTTTGGTCGAAATCGAAAAATAATCAAATATATATTACTTTAAATTATTATTTTATAAGCATTTATATTACATTATAATATTGTATATTACGTATATTATATTTGTGCAAAGTCTATTTGAACTTTCTTTAAAAACTCATTATTCACATAAATAAAGTTTCTAAGGATCTTTGTAAGCAAATTGGGCGGGACAACACGACACGACGTTATCGATAGGCTGTGTCCAAATTCTATCAGAATCGCAGCACTGGAGATAAGAATCTGAATTTTTGAACGCGACACGATTCTTCCAAGTGTTGTTGCGAATTCATGTATATGCAACACGAAGGAGTGTTACGTGTTCTCTCCAAAGGAACTTTTGTTGGATGCAACGGGAGGAAATATCGCACTCGTTCTCCCGGGGGGGGGGCACTCGTTGTCCCTTCCGTCTGGTGTTACACGCGCTCGCACAATGGTGCATCGCCGAAAGGTGCATACGTGAATACGCCGTGCATCGTCTATCTCGAGAGTGCATATTATGAGCGCGATACTGTGTGTTGCAACGAGTGGAGGGCTCGATCGATTGTAAAAGAACCAAAGCGTGCACACATGCGTGCCGTTTGATATGCTCGCGTGTGTGCGTTGCGCGCACATCGAGTGTCCCAGAACACGGAGCAATTCAGCAAAAATATAAAGATTGCGATATCTATATTAATATATGCGTGCCTAATTATATAATTGAACAAACGATTGTGTCGTCATATTGAATCATATTTAAAGCAAAATTAATATTATTTCTCTTTCTATTAAATAATTTTATTAATAATTCTTTCTTTAGAAAATCATGTTAGTAAATATTTTATTAATGTCCGTTTATTAAAAAGTCATTTTTTTCTCAACTCAATTTTCTTAAAAACTCATCGTCTAAATAGATGAAAATAGGATTTTTTAAATGCTCTGAAAGAAAGCGTACGTCATATGTCCAAGTAAGGACAAGTATTGCGTTCGTGTAGTAATCGTAGGAAAGAATACGGACGAGGGTGAAGCTAAGATCGTGGGTAAAAATGAAGGAGAATAGGGGATGACAAGGGGATTTTCGCCTTTACCGTGTTTCATGGCCGGTGTAATCTGGTTCCAACATTACGTCGTTGCTACGTGAGTCATAAACGCAAACATCAAGCTCCTTTGTGGCTAAAATTGGGTAATCCGGCAATACCGGTAATTTTTCAACCGATTCTCTCGCTGTACGAGGAAGTATTGGAAGCACGAGGAAATATTGGACGCAGAAAACAAAAGCCTAGGAAAAGAAGTTTATATCTATATATAATTATACATAAATTTATAGATTTATGGATCTTAATTTGATCTAATCATGTATAGATAAAATTGTTTCTAATTATATGTAATTCATCAGATTCATTCAGATCAGATTATGCATACATTCTTCATACATGTATATAACTAGATACAATTACATTCAGAGAAAAAAAGTCATACCAATAACTAAAAATTTGTATATAATAGCGCCTCAAGTATGTATAATAAAGTTGTAATAAGAATAATTAGCAAGTTATGAATCAAGAAAATATATTAATATTAATCATTTGTAATAAATCGTTAGATAAATTAATATATTGTATACTGTTGTTGTCAATATATTTTTTTTAAGCTTATCTCCTTATGATATTGTAGCATTATGCTTACTTCATAAAAATATTTGTCTAAACTGGAAAAATGTAACGTTGTATTCTATTTATATGAAATCTATATAATTATGTAACTATAGTTGTCACTATTTCTATCAATTAATCATTCACTATCAATTAATAATTCACATCTATTGTTATGATGACTATATTTTCATTGTATTTAATACTACTTTTGTATTTTGTATTTAATACTTTGAAAAACTAGATGGAAATACTTAAATTTCATAATTGTCATAATATAGTTGCCAAAACTATTTTATTTCCTTTCAATGTATATATATTTTAAATACAATTAGATCATATCTCTAATCTATGATATCAAAAACGAAAATATATTTTTATGAATGAAAGACTATTTATTTATAACACTTATATTAAATTTTGATTTTTATTTAATCTAAACATTCATGGATCTGATATCGATATTTTAAGAATATACATTATTATAAATACAAAATATTGATTTTTGTACGTTTTAATGATTTGTAATGAATTTTATGTACTTTTAGCTCGTTTTTCTCTTTATTTATATGTTGTATATCTATATCGAATCGATGAAGATCTGATTTGAAAAGAGCGAAAAATACATACTATATGAATTCAGACTTAGATTCTGTGCATAATGGAAGAACAAGAATATAAATTAAGAACAAGAATAAATATTAAATTTTGAAAATAAATATTAGAAATAAGATAACACAAAATGAACATAAGTAAATATAAGATACAGCTATAGCTTATACTTATTTGTATTCCTTATTATTCATTAGCGCTACATCTTTATTCCTAATTTTTATTTTCAAAATTAATATTTATTCCTGTTCCTATAAATACCTATTTTTATTCCTCCATTGTGCGCAGAATCTTAAGCTATTAGTGTTCCTTGTACTCTTCGTACTTTTTGCACGTAACCTAGTTTTTCGAACTGAGTCACTTGTGAAATGTGACAACATTTGATAAATACCAGCGCTTGATAACTAATAAATAATCAGTATTTAGTAAATAATCAATATTTAGTAAATATTTTTATAAGATTTAAATGTATACGTCAATTAATCAATGATTTAACATACATATGTTATAATGACAACTAGATGTCTTACTAATTTATTAAAATTACTTTTTAATGCAACATTAATTTGTTGATAAATATAATAATTGATGCAAATAATAAATTGTAAACAAGTTAATTTCCAAATTTGCTTAAAATTTAAGCAACATTCAAAATACCTATTTTTTGACAAAGATTTTTTTCGTGTGTGTGAAGTTGGCGTCTCATTTCGCGGAAAATAACAAATTATTGAGAGTTCTGACTTCTTTTCGAATAGTTCTAGAGTTCCTGATAAATTAAACAAATAGTTCTGCTCATTAAAGCGAAAAAATCGGTTCGGACAAAGTGAGACGCCAGGTTCACGTCGCGTCTCACTTTGTCCTAAATAAATTCCGATGTCCGCCGATGCAAGATTTTGAAAGATTTATAGTTCTACAAGAGTTCTATAAAGAGTTCTGTCAAATTAAAGCAAAAAAAATTATTTAAACATAAATACAGAGTAATTATTAATGTAATAACAGATCGAGTTAAACTACAAACAAACAACTCGGAGTTCTGGCTTAAAAATTATACTTTTCGTATAGTTCTGAACATGAAGAAGCATTTTCTAAAGAGTTCCGGGCAATTATAATAACGTACGATTGTTAAATAAATAAATACCGTCCGAGCGTCACGTACTTAGACAGAAAGGTGTAAGACACTGACCGCTATTTCGGAGTTCTGGCTTAAAAATTATACTTTT